TGTTGTTGGTCGAAATTTGTACGAATTTCAGTGGACATCCAAATAGTACAATCAATGCGTCAAGCATGGTGCATTTTATGCGGGACTTAACATTTTTTAATGGTCATAAGGATCTAGAATCTCATTGTAATTCTAATTAATTTTTTTACAAAGTACATAAACACATCCTTTGTAGGTGTTCAAAATTAATTTATTTTTCAAAGGGCATCCAACGGATCAAAAGTCTACATTTTTATTGCATTTGTGATTGTGGTGTTTAAGCTTACTTTTCGGAGTTCACCCAAGGACAAGATCAACAATTATAAGGTCTAGAAAAATTGCCACATTTTTTGGAATGTCAAATTATATTTTCAGGTCACCCCGAGGTTAATGGTCGCGTTTTCTATGTGGTGTCTATATCCAACATCACAGAAAATAAGGTCCATGTGTACTTGGATGGAATCTTCGAAAATGTAACCCGACCGCCACATAAACAATACAGTCATCGGACCTTGGGTGTCCTTGTAATTTGACACCACAAACATGGGTATATTGACCTTGACTGAACATTGGAAAAACGGTTAATTTGACACCACATTAGGAGTCAAATTGGACCTGGCGACACCCCCTACGTGGCATTCTACTTTCACCTTGATTTAATTTTCAAAGGTCCAGTAAATAGCTCCTACCGCGGCGCTCGGAAATTCCACTCTTGGAGCCTAATCTTCCTAAGTGTTCACTGCGCTCGTGACCTTGGCCACGTTTTCCCAAACATGGGGTATTGTTAATGAACAGCAATAATTAGTGAAAACGGATCGAAAATGGGGGGCGAAAGTAGGGGAAAGCAAGGAAAGTAAAGAACAAAAAAATGGACAAAAGTTAACACGTACAGCAACAGAGAGAAAGAGAGAAAGGAAAGACAATCTTAAGAACTAATCGTGGAAACAGAAGGGTCATACAGGGAGGTGATAAGCATTAGGGAAAAAGAACGAGAGATTTTATTGATCCGAAAAACGAGGATAGAAAGGCAAGAGTCAGAAAGCGAAAAGAGGAAAGAATGCATACCAGAATGGTGAGGAAAAAGAGCAAAGATATGAACATGGGAATCAGAGAGAGTATGAACAGGAGAAGTTGGAAGAGAAATATTGCATCACAAAGAAGACAGAGGAGAAAAAATGAGAAGGAGGAAAACCAGAAACATATGTTAAAAAAAAGTAATCTCGTAAAACGATTACATTAAAGCGCATTTCCACTTGCTTCATTTCCCATTCTGTCTAAATATGCAACAATTCTGTTAAATCGTAAAAAATCCGCCCAGCAATATGAAAAGATGCCGGTGACATGGGCAATCCCTGTTGAGTGGCTACTCAATTTCAGTTTTATTGCCGAAGAATGTTCATTTCAATGCTTTTCTAAATAAAGAAGTTGGGTAACATAGTGGCGCATGATCGCAAACACCTAAATTTTAAACTAATGTTAGATTTCCTTGTTTCCAACGCGGCCTAAGTTTATCAACATTTCAACATTAAATATAGTTCCAATGATAAGAAAAGTTGGCACTGCGCATTCGCAAAAATCAAAATTTAAAACTAGCGCTAGATTTTTCACTTTAATTCAAGTGCCTATGTAAGTCAAACATTTCCATTTAAAATTCTCAATAAATAAAATAAGTTGGCACTTGCGCAGTCGCAAAATGCCAAATTTTGAAATGGCGTTTGATTTTCTCTTTATTCGAAGTGCTTATGTATCAAACTTTCGTTTAAATTCTTCCATAAATTAAAAAAAGTGGCACAGTGCGCATGAGCCAAACCAAATTTTGAAATTGGCGTTTTTGATTTTCCTTTATTCCAAGTGCCTATGTATCAAATTTCCATTCAATACTTTTATAAGTAAACAAGTTTGACAATTCAGCTTAATAAATGGGTTGAGTAGATGTGCAACAGGGCACTGTGAAATTTTGAATCGATTCGATTCCAACTTTTGGTATTGTCGTATTATTATTGGTTATATGCCTAAATCTATGCCCATATTGAATTTCATGCAATTCAGTTCATAACTAACGGAGATGTAAAAGCGATCGAACATTTCTAAACAAAGTTATCGTTCCCACGGACAGATAGATGCACAGACAGACAAAGGAACAGACGGACAGACGAGCATGCAGACGACAGATAGCAATGCAAAATTATAAACGATCTCTAGGATAAACGGCAAAAGTGTAAAATTATAGAACATGTAAAAAAACGGTTTTTTGTTTTTTTTTACAATAACTTTTTTTGTAAGCGGTACAGAAAAAATTCCTTCCTTGGTACAAGACTCGACACCATAACGAACCAAATAGCGAAAAAAGTAGAACAATAGCTCTTAAGATAAAAAAACTAGTAGCGTCGCAAAGTTAGCGGACGGACGGACGGACAAAGTGGCCACAATAGCGCATTTTTTTTTATTTTTGTGGAAATGCGCTAAAAAGGGAAGAAATTGTTGGCGTAAATAAAGCATCTGGGTACGTCCAATTCAATAGAAAGTCAGTCACCACTTTTACAGTTTGGACCCTTGAAAGTTTAGGAAGGAAATTCTTCATTACGCAACTGTTGCAGTTAATTAAAATTAGGTAATTTAGTTAATTTGATTTTATCGCCTTGGTTACCTTGCACCATCGGAAGGCGTGATTCATTAGCGTTTCTCCTAAAAGGAACGTGTAATTAAGCAATTATGCGAATATGCATTTTTAAATTAACCGCTGTGGTACCTACCTTGCTAGTCTTTACTCGTTGCGTCTGTCGAACCAACATGATCCTGGAGGCTGTCGATCAATTTGCGCCTCAAAGTGCGTTTCAGATGCTGATGTCTGTTGTGGTCTGCACTTTTTTGGTGTGGTACGCACAGTACCATTGGAACCGGAGGCGCCTGTATAGAATGGCTTCCAAGTTCGATGGTCCAATGTGTTTGCCCTTCATTGGTAATGGCCTATACTTTGTGGGCTCTACGCGAGGTACGCACGTTTCGCTTGTCTCACTCCATTTGGTGGGAATGAATTTTAGACATCCTGCACAACGTTATGTCGGTCGTTAGTGATTTTAAACTACCGGTAAGGGTGTGGTTGGGTCAGAAGCTATTCTACGGTGTCGTGGATCCGGAACATCTCGAAATAATCATGAACAGCCCTCACGCGTTGGAAAAGGACGAGTTGTACCAGTACGCTGAACCGGTGGTCGGTACCGGACTGTTCACCGCCCCAGGTTGGTCAAATCCCGGTTGGCAAGGCGACTTAAACATTTTTTTCAGTATCCAAATGGAAACGGCACCGCAAGATTATAATGCCGACATTCAACCAGCGAATTCTCGACGAGTTTGTGCCGGTATTCGTCGAGAGGTCTACAATTCTCGTGGACCAGCTGAAGAATGAGGTCGGAAAGGGTAGCTTCAATATATTTCACTATGTCAGTCGATGCACCTTGGATATTATCTGCGGTAAATGATCACCTGCTGATGTTTCGAGTCATAAAGCTTCTTGTAGAGACCGCTATGGGCGTTACGGTGGAGGCACAAACCAAGTACTCCGACTACGTGCAGTGGGCTAACAAGTGAGCGGACATACGTCGTCCTAACGTAACAGATTGTCTCCCCAGGGCTATGGAGGTTATATTCACGAGGATGTTTAACGTCTGGTACCATAACGAATTTATTTTTAATCTGAGCCAAAGCGCGCGAGAGTTTCAAGATGTTAACACCAAGATGAAGGCGTTTACCGGAACGGTACGTACCCTAGCGTCGAAGTACGTGCACTTAAACTCGCGCTAAAGGTCGTCAAAGAGAAGCGGGAGGCATACCAAAGAAAAAGGAGAGAGCAAAGGAATCTTCCGGAAGGGTACGTCGAGCCACCGACTCGCAACACCTTCCTTCAGCAGCTCATCGAGTTGTCCGAGCATGGGGCCCACTTTACCGATGAGGAACTGCGGGAGGAGGTCGACACGTTCATGGTGGCGGTGAGTTGAACGCTAGAAGACCCGAGCTTTGTTACCCCCTTACGGCGCCCGACCAGGGGTCAATTGACCCTATACGTATTTTATCATATACAGTGTGTTCGAGATGAGGATCACCCAATATTTCTTTTAATTGGCGAGATACGAAAAATTTGACAAATAAAATATAATTTTTCATGTGGCATTACGATCTACCCGATCTCATATTGACACTTCCGGCACCACTTCCCATTTGGCCGGAATTCGGGGGAACTTTTGTTATTCAAATGCAATGCCTATGTTTTTTAAAGATTTTTGAAAAGAACAATCAATTTGCTGGGTCCGTTAACTTGGCCCCCCCCCACTGAGAGATTTGATAGTTGTATTATTTTAAAATGAATGCGCTCGTTATGCGCTCATATGCGTCATATGCGTTTTTTAGAAATCCGAAAAAACATTTAGGGGGGGGGGGGCAAGTGAACGTAGCCCCCCTCCCACCAGTACGTATTTTGTCGCTTGTAACTAGGTCACCTGATACAATTGGTTATGCGCTCAATTGTGCACAAATTTTCAAAAAGTGGGGGGTCCAACTAAACGTTTTTGTGCCACTCGATAGCGCATACCTGAGAGTACAATTTCGTATGAAAAGATGTTAAAAAAAGTGACTTTTAAAAACGTTTACTTGGCCCCCCCCCATTTTTTGAAAATTTGTCACGGCTTAACCGTAATGGCGCTAGCTTTAATTCAAGTGGCGTAATTGAGCGCATAACCAAATGTATCAAGTGACCTAGTTACAAGCGACAAAATATGTACTGGTGGGGGGGAGGCTACGTTCACTTGCCCCCCCCCCATGTTTTTTTCGGATTTCTAAAAAACGATAATCGGTGGCGCATATGAGCGCATAACGAGCGCATTCATTTTAAAATAATACAACTATCAAATCTCTCAGTGGGGAGGGGGGGAGGCCAAGTTAACGGACCCCAATTTGCTATCCGAGAACGTGAAATATGGTTGATATACAAACAATGGAGAAATTCGTGATTCAATATTTAGAAAACTTATGAAACCTAGTATGCCGTGTGCTGTCAAGATGTGCGGTGTCTGTTGGGTTACATGGGGAGATCGTATCGCGCAAAAGTAAAACTTCAAAACGGAACCCTGAACAAGTTCTTTTCTGTGTATCACAACAGACACCAAGCATCCTGACAGCACACAGCATGCTAGATTTCATAAGTTTTCCAAATATCAGGAATTTCGTCATTTTTTTGGTATATCAACGATATGCGAATTTGATGGTGTACTACAGATTGATTGATCATTTCAAAGACATTAAAAACATATGCATTATATTTAAAAAACAAAAGTTGCATTGATTTTTGGTCCAACCGGAAGTCACGCCGAAAGTTTCAATATGCGATCAGATAGATCGTGATGACCCACACATTATATTTACCAATTTTGTCGAATCTCGCCAAATAAAAGAGACATTGTGATTATCTCGAACACCCTGTATATGAAAAATCGTAAGTATAAAAGAACTTTATGCATGGAACGGCAAAACGGGAGCCGATGCGTCAGCAATGAGACAAAAGTAAGTTCCAGTAAATGTTATCCAATACAGTACAAAACTCAACGAAAAACATATGAAGGGGGGGGGGGGGGGGAAGGTGTATTGACCCTAATCCATAGCATCCATAGGTTAAAAATTTTCTCTAATTTACAATGAAACTTTTTCATTTAATTAATCTAGTTTCCAAATAAGAAAAAGTCATAAAACCATACACACACCTATGGTGCCAAAAATAAGGACGATATAAAGGGTGTTCGTTTTTTAAGATCGGCCGATTCGTTTTCGAGAAAATTAGAATAATTTCTACTCTTTCGGCTAGTGTGTTAACCATTTTAGGAGTAAAATCTGAATCAATAAATTAATTTTCACTATCCCAAGATTGTCACAAAGGCAACTGACAGCAAATTAAATTCTTTCTTTCCCATAACAACAAATAAGTGATATTTTCGTTTGTTTTTGTTTTCTATCTGAACCAATGAAGATAGGTCGATTAAATAAATTAAATAAACGTGTAAACAAATATAGAAAACGAGCTCCGGGGTATGGCTATAGCAGGTGCAAAACCAAATTTTGAACCTGGTGGAAGTTTTGCTTTTATTTACAGTATTATGTATGAAATATCATTTAATTGCTTCCATAAATAAGAAAGTTGGCACTGCGCATGCGCAAAACCAAATTTTTAAACTGGCGTTAAATTTTATTTTATTCCAAGTGACTATGTATCAAATTTCATTTAAATACCTTCATAAATAAGAAAGTTTGCAATTCGGTTTATAAATGGGTGAGATGCGAAGAGGGCGCTGTGAATGCTGACTAGTAGGCTCAACTTTTGGAATTGCGTTTGATATGGCTAAAGCTATGGGCGTATTGAATTTCACGCAATTCAGTTCATAACTAACGGAGATGTCAAAAGGGCCTTCTTTATTTTTTTGGCCAACTTTTGCCAATTCACGAACTTCGATCTACAAATTTGATAAAGAATACAATCTGCGAAATTTCATCGTAATCGTAAATTCGTTTACGAGATATCGTGGCAACGGGCGGACGGGCGGACAGACGGACAGACATCGCAAGATTTATCTAATTTTGGTTTATGAAATCTAATTTTCTCGAAAACGAATCTACCGGTTTAAAAAAATCAAACGTCAAAATAAAGGACTTCGAAAGACCTTTCAAACAAGCTATTATTGCTCGACACCACTTGTCATTTAAAATTTTTAAGGGAATGGCCCTGGGAGCAGAGGGTGAAAGGGGGTGAAGTAGTTTTTTGGTTAAAAGTTGCCCCCCTTGACAAATTCTTTGACGTGTCTCGGATTTTTTTTTCTTTAATCAATGGTTTTCAATAAATCCATGGTGGGAAATTTTCAAATGAACACCCTGTATAAATTAAATCTTAAATGTGGTAAATTGGTACTGGTAGTGTTAATCCACGCTTTGTAGGGAAGCGAAACGACGGCCTCAATGAACAGTTTCATATTCATCATGCTTGGAATGTACCCAGATGTCCAGGTGAGTAACATATCCAGCACATGGTCGTCACTCGTGTTCAAACGCAGGAGAGAGTCTACCAGGAGGTGGTGGACGTACTGGGCCCGGACAGAGCCGTTGAGGTCGACGATCTCGGTCGTTTCCACTACATGGAGAGAGTGATGAAAGAGACTATGCGCGTATTTCCAGTCGGACCTGTACTGGTTAGGGCAGTGACCAAAGATATTCAGCTCGGTAACTAGACACTTTCCCGCACGTTGAGCGCACGGAGCTTTCAGAGAACTGCGTGATTCCCGGCGGAAGCTCGGTGGCGATGGTGGTCATCAAGACGCACCGAAACGAGAAATACTGGCCGCAGCCCTTCAGGTTCGACCCCGATCGATTTCTACCCGAAGAAGTCGCGAAACGTCACCCGTACGCCTGGCTGCCCTTCTCCGGAGGACCACGGAATTGCGTCGGTACGAAAGCAGGCTCTCTTTTCTCCGCCAATTGAGGTTTTAGGTCCCAGGTACGCCTTTACGGCGATGAAGTCGCTCATCGCGACCGTTGTGAGGAAATACAAATTTTCAACGGACTACAATTGCATTGAGGACATCAAGTTGAAGGCCGATTTAGTGCTGAAACCTGTCAACGGGTACAATGTCTCGGTAAAGTTGAGAGAATGACCCTAGACTGAAGGGGGTCATTCCATATGCAGGTGGAGGATGATCAGCTTCCATAGAATAGTGGAATGGCGTGAGGAATAAATAAGTTTCAGGGGCCACAGACGCCACTGAATTTACACTACACCACGGTGTAAATTCAGCGGCGTAGGTGACCCCTGAAACCTATTTAACCCTCAACACTACACCACGGTGTAAATTCAGTGGCGCAGGTGACCCCTGAAATCTATTTAACCCTTAACACTATACCACGGTGTAAATTCAGTGGCGTAGGTGAACCCTGAGATCTATATTTAACCCTTAACTCCAAACCACGGTGTAAATTCAGTGGCGTAGGTGACCCCTGAAATCTATTTAACCCTTAACACTATACCACGGTGTAAATTCAGTGGCGTAGGTGACCTCTGAGATCTATTTAACCATTAACACTACACCACGGTGTACATTCAGTGGCGTGGATGACCCCTGAAATCTATTTAACCCTTAACACTATACCACGGTGTAAATTCAGTGGCATGGGTGACCCCTGAAATCTATTTAACCTTAACACTACACCACGGTGTAAATTCAGTGGCGTAGGTGACCTCTGAGATCTATTTAACCATTAACACTACACCACGGTGTAAATTCAGTGGCGTAAATGACCCTTGAAATCTTTTTAACCATTAACACTATACCACGGTGTAAATGCAGTGGAGTAGGTGACCCCTGACCTCTATTTAACCCTTAACACTACACCACGGTGTAAATTCAGTGGCGTAGGTGACCCCTGAAATCTATTTAACCCTTAACACTATACCACGGTGTAAATTCAGTGGCGTAGGTGACCCCTGAGATCTATTTGACCCTTAACACTACACCACGGTGTAAATTTAGTGGAGTAGGTGACCCCTGACCTCTATTTAACCCTTAACACCACCCCATGGTGTAAATTCAGTGGCGTAGGTGACTCCTGAAATGTATTTAACCCTTAACACTACACCATGGTGTAATTTCAGTGGCGTAGGTAACCCCTGAAATCTTTTTAACCCTTAACACTATACCACGGTGTAAATTCAGTGGAGTAGGTGACCTCTGAGAACTATTTAACCATTAACACTACACCACGGTGTAAATTCAGTGGCGTAGGTGACCCCTTATGGCTTTCCACTATTCTATGGAAGTAGGTAGGTACTTGTAAATATAGCTAACTGACTTCGCAATTATAAGCAGTCAAACCGGTTGAATTTGTAACCTTGTTCTAAGGTATTTTTAATAGAAGATTGTAATAATAATTGTAATAAATGCGTTTTTTACTTTGAACCTTGGCCACTGTCATCATTTCTTCACCATGGTTTCGATGCGTCATTCGCTCCACTTGTCAAGGCTGGAATTAACAAGAAAAATGAACCATAATTAACACGTCCAACTTACGTATAGAAATCTACTGAATAAAATATTCGTATCTTCCCACAGTCTTCTTCCTGAGATCTTGAACTCCTCAGATGGACGGCTAGAATTCGTGTAAATGCCTCCATAATGTGGACATTAGTGAGCTCGTCGTTCTCCCTACGGACATAGTATAGGCGTCGATTCTAGCTAGAGCTTCTGGGAAGAGGCACGCCAGATAGAAAATCAAGAGATAAAGAGTGAAACAATTAAACAGGGAATTATCAGAAAAGAAAGGATGAAGAATTCGAATCGGAAACATGGAGAGAGGAGGTAATTGATTACACAATAGTAAATGAAAAATACTGGACGGAATAAAAGAATTGAGGGTAGGGAGTCTGACCAACCGGTGGAAATGAGTGAGGGAGGACAAGATCAAGAAATGGAAAGACACAAAGATGAAGGGAAATAGGGAAATAAGACTAGAGGAACAAAAAGAAGAAATAGGAGAATAGTAGTATAACAAAGGCAATAACGTGGTAAGAGTTAAATGAAGGGGAAGGGAGACATAATATACCTACAGGGATGATTTTTGAGAAATGTTAAACAAATATAAAGGTGGGAGAGAAATACAAATCGTGGAATAGCAGCACATTATTTGGGTACTACAGGAAAAACAGAAGGAAGAAGAGGTAACAAGAGAGGAGGCGGAAAAAAACGAGATGAGCAGCAATTAAAGATAGTGTTAAGGAAAAGACGAGGAAACTATTAAACAAGAATATAAAAAGGAAGAATGACAGAAAGGGATTTACAAATGAGGTGAGCCAAAGTGGATTGATAGCAATGGAAAGACGGAAAAGGATAGTGGAAACAAATGTAGAATAGATGAAGAAAATGATGGGCATAATGGAGAGGTACTGGGAAAGAGAAAGATGGGAACTAAATGTAGGAAAATGGACATGATGAGATTTGGGAAGAAGGGAGAGGGTAAATAAGGAGATCGCCAGGAAGCAGGGCGGTAAGGTTCAAAGAAAGGAGGTGAATTAGTGAAAGAAGGATGAACACAAATGGAATTTGGGGAGAACAAAGAAAAATACGATATGGAAGAAATGAACACGGATGGGTCGAAAGGAAGAGAGGAATAGGGGAAAAGATGGAAATTGAACTGATAAAAAGGAACGTTGGTGCACAAGTACAGCAACAGAGGGGTGCAAATAGAAAGCTCACGAGAAAACAGTGTGTACATGAAGCTGATAAGGGCGTTGTGGCCGAAATACTTAAGGGGGAGGGAAGAAAAATATTAAGATAATAGCGAGGTTTAGATGCGGAAATGAGGAGAAAGGGAAGGGGTATTATTAGAACTCGTGGGGAAAAAGAGAAAGAGAGCACATGATATAGGAATGTCAAGTGGTTACTAAAAATTAATTAATTGATCGAAATGCTACCAACAATCTTGGTCGAACAGTGTCAATAAGTTGGCTAAACGCTTCACCAAGGTAAAATTGCAGTTCAGCCGATTGAGGTCAAAATTTTGTCGGCTTGGTCGCCTTGGTTAAAGTCCCCGCAACATTGATCCTTAGCATAGCAACCTGCGAATAGCAATAATTATAATTTTTTACAGACGAAGGCGCATCCAGTTAATCGATTACTTTAATGGCTCTATTTAAACAAGCTACGGCGGAAGCTGGTGGGCTTCGAAATCTAGCCACCAATCATGCTAGAGGCTATCGACTACTTCGCGCCTAAAAGCGCGCTTCAGACGCTGGTGATCGTCGCCCTTGTCACGTTTTTGGTGTGGTACACGCAGTACCATTGGAACCGGAGGCGTCTCTACAAAATGGCGTCCCGTTTCGACGGTCCCATTTCTCTTCCGTTCATTGGCAGCGGACTATCCTTTGTCGGCTCTACTTCTGGTAAGTGAAACCGTATACCTCACTGAAAACGACTAAATTTTAGACATTTTAAACAACGTCATGGTGCTGTTCCAAACGTTTAAACCACCGGTGCGAGTGTGGTTGGGTCAGAAACTGTTTTACGCACTATTTGATCCGGAGGATCTTGAAATAATCATGAACAACCCGCATGCGTTGGAAAAGGACGAACTGTATCTGTTCGCTGAACCCTTTGTGGGTACCGGTCTGTTCACCGCCCCAGGTTGGTCCGCTTTCAAGTTGTCAGGGAGGTCATCTACACGATTTTCTAGTGCCAAAATGGAAACGCCACCGTAAAGTGATAATGCCGACATTCAATCAGCGCATCCTCGACGAGTTTGTGCCGGTATTTGCCGAACAGTCCGAAATACTCTTGGAGCAGCTGAAGAAACAAGTTGGAAAGGGCAGCTTCGACATCTTTCAACTCGTCAGCCGTTGTACCTTGGATATTATCTGCGGTAAAAACCATAAGCTAATATTTGGTGTCCACGATTTTGTTCCAGAGACGGCAATGGGAGTTAAGGTGGAGGCGCAGACTACAGACTCAGACTACGTCAAGTGGGCTAACAAGTGAGTTCCTGGACGTTTTCTAAGACTAACCCTGACTTCAACAGGGCAATGGAGATTACGTTTACGAGAATGTTCAACATCTGGTACCACTTCGATTCCATATTTAACCTTACACAAAGCGCACGTGACCTTCTCGACATCCAAACCAAGATGAAAACGTTCACTGGAGCCGTGTGTATCCTACCTTGCGTCTAACGCTCTTAACTTACGTTTCAGGTTGTAAGAAACAAACGGGAGGCGTACCAGACAAAAATGAGGGAACGAAGGCAACTACCGGAAGGGTACGTAGACAAAGAGGCGCCGACTCGAAAAACCTTCCTTCAACAGCTCATCGAGTTGTCCGAAGGAGGGGCCAACTTCACAGATGATGAATTGCGAGAGGAGGTCGACACATTTATGGTGGCGGTAGGTAAAGTAGAACACTTGAGGGCGTTTCGACGCTTGGTTTTGTAGGGAAGCGACACCACGGCGTCAATGAACAGCTTCATATTCGTAATGCTAGGAATGTACCCAGATGTGCAGGTGAGTAACAAACCCATCTCATACTCTTCACTCGGTTGAATGCAGGAAGAAGTCTACCAAGAGGTGTTAGACGTACTCGGCCCAGACAGAGCAGTAGAAGCCGCCGATCTTGGTCGCTTCCAATACATGGAGAGAGTGATGAAAGAGACCATGCGCATATTTCCCGTCGGACCTTTACTCGTTAGGGCAATCACTAAAGACATTCAGCTAGGTGACCTGACTCTTTTCCACTCACTGAGCACACGGAATTTTTAGAGAACTGCGTGATTCCGGCCGGAAGTTCGGTGGTAACGGTGATCATGCAAACGCACAGAAGCGAGAAGATTTGGCCGCAACCCCTCAAGTTCGAACCCGACCGATTTTTACCCGAAGAAATTGCCAAACGCCATCCATACGCTTGGTTGCCATTTTCTGCTGGTCCTCGAAATTGCGTTGGTAAGATCTTACCCTCACTTCATTTTTAAAAAAGCACAAGCGCAGGTCCGAAATACGCTTTTATGGCAATGAAAGCGCTCATCGCGACAGTAGTCAGGAGATACAAGTTCACCACGGACTATAAGTCCATTGAGGACATCAAGCTGAAGGCTGATTTAATGCTGAAACCGGTCGATGGATACAATGTTTCGGCCGAGTTGAGAGAATGATGGCGATTTTTATTGCTCCTTAGCGTTTCAAATTGCACACTTATTGTATCATGTGGCGAAGTGCCCTCTTAAATATTAAAAACAGAAACAGACACCACTTTTCAGTTGGTAACAGATCGCAGCAGCAAGGACCTGTTTGTAAGCTTTCGCTAAGGATACAGGGCCAATAATTGTGGGTCGCTACATCTTCAATCTTCAATTATCCAAAATCGTCCTCTTCCTGTATTTCACTCCTGTTATTCTTCTTTACATTCTCCAAGCATATGCTCGATCTCTTCTCCTTTCTCTCGACAGATTATTCATTTCCTTTCTTCTCCTTCACCTTCCCTCTTTCCTCGTTTCCACATCTAAACCTCTCTATCTTCTTTCCCTCAGATATTTTGGTAACCACATGCATTTGGTACCCTAAGTATTTAACTTCTCGGACTTCCTCTATTTTTTCCTCCCTCTTTTCCTTCTTTCCCCATTACGAAAATCTTATCACATACCTAATCTTCAATTTTCCTACATTTCCCTTTCTTTCCCAGTACATATCTCGCCATCCTTCCCATTATTTCCTTCATCTGTTCTACCTCTGTTGCCGTTACTACTGTGTCGTCCGCGTATGGCACGGACAATATCTTCCTTATATCCACTACGATCCCACCATGTTGGCATCTCTCTCCATATAATTCCTTGATCCATCATTTTCCACACTTTTCCCTTTCCATTCCGTCAAACGCTATCTTTAAGTTCATGAAAATGAAATCATCCTTACCGCCATCGTTCCTCTCCCATTTTTGAATCCCTACAACAGTACAACATCCTCTTTCTTTCTATTTCTCTTTCTGTCATTCAATTCGATTGCATACATTCAGTCGTCAGTATTGTGATTTTCCTATCAGTTTCCATACAGCCCTTATCACCTATCTTTTGTAAACCAGCGCTATTACTCCCACCTTCCATTTTTCAGATAGTCACCCTCCCTTCCACACCGTCTGTGTCTCATTTTCCTTTCTTGCTCCTCAATCTATTGATATCCAGTCTCCTTCTAATGTCCACTATCACTTCTTCTTTCTCCTAATTCCCTTGTAATACGTTAATAAAGTGCTGCTTCCAATTCACTAATTGTATTTCCTCCCACCTGTTCTGTTTTCCACTTTTCTCTGTTTGTCATGTGTCAAAAGTTCTCTGCTTTTATTTCTCAGATTTGTTTTCCATATACTTCCTGTTCCTCCATCTTTTCCTTTACGTTTTTTTTGTAATTCATTTCCTGTTCCCTTAACTGCTTCTAATCAATATCTCCTTTTCTTTCTTTCCCCATAATTGTTCTATATATGTTTCTTTCTTTAGTACACTCGTTTTTTCTCCACCACACATTTAGATATTGGTTTCCCCGTTCTTGCTTTTTTAAAACGCTTCTTCAAATTTTAGATAATTAGACATTGGACAATAGACATTAGACAATAGACATTAGACAATAGACATTAGACAATAGACATTAGACAATAGACATTAGACAATAGACAATAGACATTAGACAATAGACATAGACATTAGACAATAGACATTAGACAATAGACATTAGACAATAGACATTAGACAATAGACATTAGACAATAGACATTAGACAATAGACATTAGACAATAGACATTAGACAATAGACATTAGACAATAGACATTAGACAATAGACATTAGACAATAGACATTAGACAATAGACATTAGACAATAGACATTAGACAATAGACATTAGACAATAGACATTAGACACATTAGACAATAGACATTAGACAATAGACATTAGACAATAGACATTAGACAATAGACATTAGACAATAGACATTAGACAATAGACATTAGACAATAGACAATAGACATTAGACAATAGACATTAGACAATAGACATTAGACAATAGACATTAGACAATAGACATTAGACAATAGACATTAGACAATAGACATTAGACAATAGACATTAGACACATTAGACAATAGACATTAGACAATAGACATTAGACAATAGACATTAGACAATAGACATTAGACAATAGACATTAGACATTAGACAATAGACATTAGACAATAGACATTAGACAATAGACATTAGACAATAGACATTAGACAATAGACATTAGACAATAGACATTAGACAATAGACATTAGACAATAGACATTAGACAATAGACATTAGACAATAGACATTAGACAATAGACATTAGACAATAGACATTAGACAATAGACATTAGACAATAGACATTAGACAATAGACATAGACAATAGACAATAGACATTAGACAATAGACATTAGACAATAGACATTAGACAATAGACATTAGACAATAGACATTAGACAATAGACATTAGACAATAGACATTAGACAATAGACATTAGACAATAGACAATAGACATTAGACAATAGACATTAGACAATAGACATTAGACAATAGACATTAGACAATAGACATTAGACAATAGACATTAGACAATAGACATTAGACAATAGACATTAGACAATAGACATTAGACAATAGACATTAGACAATAGACATTAGACAATAGACATTAGACAATAGACATTAGACAATAGACATTAGACAATAGACATTAGACAATAGACATTAGACAATAGACATTAGACAATAGACATTAGACAATAGACATTAGACAATAGACATTAGACAATAGACATTAGACAATAGACATTAGACAATAGACATTAGACAATAGACATTAGACAATAGACATTAGACAATAGACATTAGACAATAGACATTAGACAATAGACATTAGACAATAGACATTAGACAATAGACATTAGACAATAGACATTAGACAATAGACATTAGACAATAGACATTAGACAAAAGACATTAGACAATAGACATTAGACAATAGACATTAGACAATAGACATTAGACAATAGACATTAGACAATAGACATTAGACAATAGACATTAGACAATAGACAATAGACATTAGACAATAGACATTAGACAATAGACATTAGACAATAGACATTAGACAATAGACATTAGACATTAGACAATAGACATTAGACAATAGACATTAGACAATAGACATTAGACAATAGACATTAGACAATAGACATTAGACAATAGACATTAGACAATAGACAATAGACATTAGACAATAGACATTAGACAATAGACATTAGACAATAGACATTAGACAATAGACATTAGACAATAGACATTAGACAATAGACATTAGACAATAGACATTAGACAATAGACATTAGACATTAGACAATAGACATTAGACATTAGACAATAGACATTAGACAATAGACATTAGACATTAGACAATAGACATTAGACAATAGACATTAGACAATAGACATTAGACAATAGACATTAGACAATAGACATTAGACAATAGACATTAGACAATAGACATTAGACATTAGACAATAGACATTAGACAATAGACATTAGACAATAGACATTAGACAATAGACATTAGTAATCCAGAATCCAGGTCGTGCCCTTCGAGGCACAGAAAGTTGCGTAACTAAGAAGTGACCTTCTAATGAAGTCCAAGGTCGTGGCCTGGGCTGAGACTTCACAGCAGCTACAACCTTCGCCCAAAACCCAAGGCCGTCACCAAGTTAATGGCATAGGATCAAAAATCCAAACAGGAGGTGGGGGGAGGCGTTCTATTCCTAGATATCTTCAGAGAAGAAATTTTCGTCCACTTATGAGGTTTTTGCAACAATTTGGGTTTTGAAAGGTTTTATGGATTTTTAGGCTGTTTGAAAGGGTTTCCAGAGGCCTAAATGCTTCTCAAAAACCCTAAAGAAGTTTGCAGATTTTTACAGCTCAGAGCAGATCTTTTAAAAGTATTTGGCAGTGTCTAGGAGGAGTCTTTACGACCTTTCAGACTAAGAGCCCCTTACAGTCTCGAAGATTCTCCAGCGCCTCTTCTAAACACTTTACGATTCTTTTCTCGCTTTAGATCCTATAAGGGCGTTAGATTTTCTTGACGGGTTTTTCAGAATTGATGAGGTCTATTATTGCATTATGAAAAAGGCAATAAGAAATGGGCGAAATAGAAATTGGGTGCATTTTCTCCTTGGGCTTTGCGTAGCTTAAATTTCCCTAATGAGGTGTATGGGTAAGTTACATAAAATTTGGGCAAAAGGTAGCTATAGGTAATTTGAGCGATACAGATAACGTCATTGCTAATTTTTTTTACTTTGACTACCTTGAGCAAAGTGCAGATCACAAACGTAAGAACCATCATAATTATATTAAATGACCAGTTGCATGCATCAAATTACTTATTGGAATTGTGAAGGGATTACGATAATAGCCCTATTTAAATAATCCGCAGTGGTAGTGTTTTGTTCACCTTCAAACATGATGAATCTTGTCGACGAATTTGCGCCTAAAAGCGCTCTCCAGGCGCTGGTGCCCATCGCACTTGTCACGTTTTTGGTGTGGTACATGCAGTACCATTGGAACCGTAGGCGCCTCTACAAAATGGCGGCCCTGTTCGATGGGCCCATCTGTTTGCCGTTTGTTGGCAATGGACTATACTTCGTCGGCTCCACGAGTGGTACGTAAATTCCACATGCTCTGGTCCGAGTGGTGCGAAAGAATTTTAGATATCCTGCAAAACGTCATCTCGCTGGTGAGCAATTTTAAACTGCCGGTGAGAGTGTGGTTGGGCCAGAAACTATTCTACGCCTTAGTTGATCCTGGAGATCTGGAAATAATCATGAATAGCCCTCACGCGCTGGAGAAGGACGAGTTGTACCAGTATGCCGAACCCATTGTGGGTACCGGATTGTTCACCGCCCCAGGTTGGTCCGCTTTCAAGTTGTCAGGGAGGTCATCTACACGATTTTCTAGTGCCAAAATGGAAACGCCACCGTAAAGTGATAATGCCGACATTCAATCAGCGCATCCTCGACGAGTTTGTGCCGGTATTTGCCGAACAGTCCGAAATACTCTTGGAGCAGCTGAAGAAACAAGTTGGAAAGGGCAGCTTCGACATCTTTCAACTGGTCAGCCGTTGTACCTTGGATATTATCTGCGGTAAAAACCATAAGTTAATATTTGGTGTCCACGATTTTCTTCTAGAGACGGCAATGGGAGTTAAGGTGGAGGCGCAGACTACAGACTCAGATTACGTCAAGTGGGCTAACAAGTGAGTTGCTGGGCGTTTTCTAAGAGTAACCCTGACTTCCACAGGGCAATGGAGATTATGTTTACGAGAATGTTCAACATTTGGTACCACTTCGATTCCATATTTAACCTTACACAAAGCGCACGTGACCTTCTCGACGTCCAGACCAAGATGAAAACGTTCACTGGAGCCGTGTGTATCCCACCTTGCGTCTAACGCTCTTAACTTACGTTTCAGGTTGTAAGAAACAGACGGGAGGCGTACCAGAGAAAGATGAGGGAACGAAGGCAACTACCGGAGGGGTACGTAGACAAAGAGGCGCCGACTCGAAAAACCTTCCTTCAACAGCTCATCGAGTTGTCCGAAGGAGGGGCCAACTTCACAGATGATGAACTGCGGGAAGAGGTCGACACATTTATGGTGGCGGTAGGTAAAGTAGAACACTGGAGGGAGTTCCAACGCTAGATCTTTGTAGGGAAGTGACACCACTGCGTCGATGAACAGTTTCATATTCATCATGCTTGGAATGCACCCAGATGTTCAGGTGAGTAGGTAACATATACCGGGCGTATAGTCATCACTCGGTTGAACGCAGGAAGAAGTCTACCAAGAGGTGCTAGACGTACTCGGGCCAGACAGAGCAGTAGAAGCAGCCGACCTTGGTCGTTTCCACTACATGGAGAGAGTGATGAGGGAGACCATGCGCATATTTCCCGTCGGACCTATACTGGTTAGGGCAATCACCAAGGACCTTCAGCTAGGTAAGTCGACTCTTTTCCACTCGTTGAGATCACGAAATTTTTAGAGAACTGCGTGATACCGGCCGGAAGTTCAGTGGTAATGGTGATAATGCAAACGCACAGAAGCGAAAAGATTTGGCCGCATCCGCTTAGGTTCGAACCCGACCGTTTCCTACCCGAAGAGGTAGCCAAACGACATCCATACGCTTGGTTGCCATTCTCTGGTGGTCCACGTAACTGCGTTGGTAAGACGACCGCATCTCTCCTTCGGTTTAATCAGAGCACTCACTAGGTCCTAAATATGCATTTATGGCCATGAAGGCGCTCATCGCTACCGTCGTCAGGCGATACAAATTTAAGACCGACTATAAGTGCATCGAGGATATCGAACTGAAGGCTGATTTGATGTTGAAACCGGTCAACGGGTACAATGTTTCGGTCGAATTGAGGGAATAACAACAATTTATCAGCGCACAATTACTTTAGAACTATTCGTGTTGCAGTATAAACTTTTTTACTCGCCTCAATTGAATCATTTTGAGCCCTTCGAGTGCACACACTCTCAACAGAGAACGCTGGGGTTGCAGGTTTCAGTGAAATCAATCCCTTATTGCAAATATCCTTTTTCTATTTCGGTGTTACAATGAGATTTTTGTACAACTGTTTTAGGCAAAAACAGTATTACAAAGGCTTCCATTGTAACATAGTTTTTCGTAACTTTTCATCTCTAAGTTGGCAGTTCGTCAACCTCAAATTATCAGATGTCAAATCCACCACAAGAACCAATGAATAAAGAATACCAGGTATGAGAATATCAACAATTTACGTGAGACCGCGATGGCTTTTGCAAATGGCGGACAGTAGTTTCCTGTTCCAGTGGCGTACCTACCTTACAGTTGTTGAAGGATACAAATTATAAAGAATTTTACACGAAAACAATCTAAACCCCCATGTGTCTACTCCGCCTATGACTTTTGTTTAACTAACCTCAAACTACATTCCGATAAAAAATTTGTAAATTTACATGTATATTCCCTCCAAAACTAAACAAGATCCCGCTTACCTAAATTTGAAAAGTGGCACGTGATCAAACATCGAACGTAGGGCCGCCTTACGTTAGTTGTAAGCAACGCTATTTTGACCTGAAGTACTGTAGGGAAGGAACGTAAAATAAAGCACAGAAATTGTTCGTTTAATAATGATCGTTATTATTTACATCGTGAATACTGGAAATAAATTGCATTGCAAAAATAAACTTTCAAAATGGTAGTTCACCGAATAAAAAAATTAAAATAAGCTGGGAAAAAAGAACTTACCAATAAAAAAACCAGCAGTCAAATTATTGTTTGTAATGATTTGAATGCGTAACATAAAATTATAACAATAATATTAACGAAATATCTATCGCGTAAGCCACAAGAGGTGAGATATTTCCACCCACTTAGCAAGAGGTTGATACCAGACCAATAATGCATGTCAAGTGTTACCTACATTCCTACATACAAAAATCGATTAGCAAGGTGGTTCGTTTCTAAGACACATAAAAGCAAATACCTACACACATAAATATATCTCTGGCGTGTGATAATGTACATCACATATTCCAGTTCACTGCAAATATTCAACAATCTTGGTCTTTGATTAATAAAATTAATAATAAAAAAAGTTCGTTGTAGTCACAATGTTATCAAGTTTGAGATACCTACAACAAACATTCTAAGAAAGGGTGAAGTACACAGGATGCGATTCCTCTTTGGTGCAATAAAATACTTCAACTAACGACAAGATATGTGGGAATTAGCGAATCGCGACTCATTTATCGCACATAGATTCTAAACTAAAGACTTTTTATTAGCATAATCTTGCCCCCAAGATAGATAACTCGCCCCTCGTTCGGGGTTTCGAGCCGATCAAAACTTATATCGCCGCCCATGGGTAGGACGGCCTTCGGTTAGCAGCACTTCGTCCCTAAAGTTGGAGGTTCGAGGGCCCTCGGATCCTTTTGTGCCTTAGCTCTAGAATACCTTTCTATTCTAGCGTCCGAGCTCCCTCTCACGGTAGGAAGATATGAATTACATATAACAAGGCACACGCATTCGCGAATGTTACGAGTCACCCTAAACTAAATACACCTAGCATTGCATGCCCCACTTCACGGAAGTCGAGGTTCTACATAGGTACACCCACGTGCACCGTGTAACTGAGTTAAATGTGGTCTAAACCTGAGATATCGTAGACTTCCACAAGCACATGGATACTAGTTAACACCTCGCATTTTGTTAATTACATATTAGCACAATGGTAGATGGAAAATATCTGATATAACAAATGGCGCAATTCATATAACTACTAAGAGTAAACTACATAAAATACCTTACCCGACACCAAAGTGGTTGAATCTTACGCACAAACAAAAAAACAAAGCTAAACTCTATGAATACAACTCAAAATGCAATAATCCCACCACCAACAAGCTTTATAAGTATAACAATCAACAAGTGACGCCAAGCCCCCAAATCCCAAACATCCTCCGGAAATTACGAAAAAAATATCGACAGGTGGTGATGGCGGTAGCTCATGTGTCCAGAATCTCCAACTACTTGACCGGTTGCATCCGACGTTGAAATATACAGGGTATTTAAATGGATACAACTATTAGAATCATTTGTTCCTCTGTATCTACCCTTGCGGTTAAAGACATCACTTTAACCACTCTTACTGTTAGAGAGATCTGCTATAACATAATTTGAATTAGACGCTCCCATTAATTTATAAAAAAGTGACAACAGTGTCAGCGTCAGGTATGCAGATAAGTTCAGATTGATGAAAAGAAAAGCATGTAGACTTTTTTTGCAATTTCCATTATGATTAGTTTTAATAAAAGTATTTAGAGTATTTAGTGTCAGGTTGCTTTGGGATCTCGCTGTTATTTATACAGATTCTTTACACTTATTTAAGTATAAGAATATTGTTGTTAGGTATGGACGGAAATGATGTACCTCTCATTAAAATCGAACCAAAACAAGAAGAAGAAATCCATTCCTTTCTTGAGGGACACATTTCCATAAGCAACGAGGTTTTGGTAACAGTAAAGGACGAAATTACCATTAATACACAGTGTTCTAAATCTCTTTATAATGAAGAAGTACAGCCACACCTTTTAACTCGTGAGACCGTGCCTATTGAGTTGGATTTCAAATGTGCAGATTGTGATTTTGAGACTAAGTATAAAAGTAGCTTCAATCGACATCTTTTAAAACATCAAGTTTCAAAGTATTTACAATGTGCTACTTGTGATTATGGGGCGAACAATATATACAATTTTAAACGACATCTTTTAAGACATGAAGTTGCTAAGGATTTTAAATGTGCTGATTGTGATTATCGGACAAATGTTAAACTTAACTTCTCACAACATCTTTTAAGCCATAAAATGTCTAAGGATTTTAAATGTGCTAACTGTGATTATCGGACAAATGTTAAAGGTACCTTAAAAAGACATGTTTTAATACACAAAGTTTCTAAGGATTTTAAATGTGTCAATTGTGATTACGGAACAAATAATAAACAGCACTTTAAACAACATGTTTTAAGACATAAAGTTTCTAAGGATTTTAAATGTGCTAATTGTGATTATGAGACAAATGTTATAGGCACCTTAAAAAGGCATGCTTTGATACATAAGGTTTCTAAGGATTTGAAATGTGCCGATTGTGATTATGAGACAAATGTTAAAAGCAGCTTCAAACAACATCTTTTAAAACACAAAGTTTCTACAGTTTTTAAATGCGCTCATTGTATTTATCAGACAAATTTTAAAAGTAGCTTCAAACAACATATCTTAAAACATAAAGTTTCCAAACATTTTAAATGTGCTAATTGTCGTTATGAGACAAATTTTAAAGGCAATTTAAAACGGCATTTCTTAAAACATAAGAGCTGCTAATTGTGATCATGAGATAAATAATAGTGGGCTTTGAGCTGCAGCTTTTAGGATACATTAGGCGAATCATTCAATTAAGGAACAAATTTAACGACTATACTATGTTAGAACATACAATACACTTAACCACCCTACACAAAAACTCATTGCATACCATTACTCACAAATTAAACTTTTTACATATCAGAAGCTCTCTGGCGCCCAAAAAAAGCTCAAAAGAAATTTGAAACAATTGCTGGTAGCGTATCGCTTTTATTCACTCTCTCAATGCATATTGTGTACCCATTCCTTTACATTGTAAAGTATACCTACCTACTATTACTATTTTTGTTATCCATAATTAGTTATTCCTTCTTTTACTTTAATCTTTGTTTATTAATTTATTGCTTATATTTTATTATTACTTCTATAAATATATCTAATATACCTAATATATTTTGTTTCTTTTGCGTGCTATAGATTATCATTGTTTTTCTTTTATTTATAAATCTTTGTTTTTGAGATCGGGTATTTACAGTGCTTGGATTTTGTTAATTACGTTAGTAAGCGGTGCGCCAGATGAGTATCTTTTGTTATTATTATTAAGTTCATGTACAAAAATGTTATTTTCTTTATATATTATGTTATAATACGGGTCCAATCCATAATGTACTAAATATATGAAAATAAATTCCAATTATTTTCTCGCTCCTGCTGATATTCGCCACATGAGGCGCGAACCTTAGCCAAGTCCTCATTAATAGTGCGGTTTTTAGTGTTGTTAATTTTTTTTGCGAAATTAGATAAACGGGATTTGGCTAGTGCACTAATAGTATTGAGCGGTAAGAGAAGTATATATGGTATGTCTACACAGTGCATGATGAAAAGTTACAACACTGTCAGGTTCAGGTATGAAGATAACTTCAGATTAATGAATCCAAGATGACGTCTATGACATTTTGTAACATAGAAAGTAAAGTATTGCTTTGGGAACTCGCTCTGTATTGTTTGTAGTGTACTTAAACCCCAGGTTCTACGCTAACTTCACACTAGGAGAACACGAAAATAAAGTCAACCCGGCAACGTTTAAAAATGACCACCCGAATGACTATTCCCTCCAAAACTAAACAAGATCCCGCTTAAATTTGAAAAGTGGTTAGTTCAGTTGTAGACAACGCTTTGACCAGAAGCACAGTAGGGAAGTAACGTTAAATAAAACCATTGATAAAACACTGAAATTGTAAAACGTTTGTTTAATAATGATCGTAATTATTATGATTGGGATAGCCCGGAAATTTAGTTGATGTACATTAATATAAACAAAGTAACTGCTAAGGGTAAAAAGAGTACGACGTAAGGAAAACCTCGCAGTTTAATTACTAAAGTCCAAAAGTTAATTACCAAAATATTTCGTGAAAGTTTAAGCAGTAGTTAACAAAGATAGTAAATGCATATACATATACAATGTTGGTTACACTCAAGGTTAAAAGCAAGTTTTTGGGAACAATGGGTCAGGTTGGAGCGGGTACCTAAATTCCGAGGAAGGGTTGAGAGTACAGGATGTGACTCATCTTTGGTGCAATAAAGTCCTTTTGTTAAAAGCAAGATGGAAAATTACATGGCCTTGTAGGCAAATTTAACTAAAAACAAGATATGTGGAAATTATTGAATCGACACTCATTTATCGCACATAGATTCTAAACTGAAGAGCTTTGATTAGCGTAATCCCGCTCCTGCAAGATGGGTAGCCCGTCCCTGGTTTCGGGGTTTCGAGCTTACAGTTGGATGTCGAGGACAATCACGGAATTAGGTGTCGTACTTCAATTTTGACTACAGTTTTTTTACTACCCCCGTGACTGCTTCATTCACGGAGAAAATTATTAGTAACAAACAACAAGTCAGTACATACCTCAAACGAATCGGTAATTTCCACATATTAAAATAAAATTATCAAAACTTACATGAATGTTACTTCAGAGACAAGACCAAGTAATCAACATCAATAAACATAAATTAAGCAAACATTACACCAAAAACGTAAACAATTACAAACAATAGCATAACGGTATCACACATGTGATTGCAATACGGTTAAACCAAGTAAATTTCAAAAACAAAAGATTGAAACACACAAAATGCGGCATACAAAACACAACTACGATATACAGACATGCAAAAATTACTAGCTGCATTAAATAACACAAAATAACAACAAACATTTACGGAGCGACGCGTTGACAATCGCCATTCAAAACAAGATGCCAAACGTAACCCCCGTTCGTGCTTTCTTGGTGGCGCAGGCAGCTTTTCCCCACCTAGAAATTACATAGTTGCCAACTCTCAAAAATGTATATATCGTCGTAAGTTGTATATACAGGGTAGAACCTTTCATGTTTAATGCCAAAAAATTGTTGATAAACCAAAATTATTTATAACAATATTGTTGTTAGCTATGAACGGAAATGATGTACCCCGCCATCACCATGTGTTGATATTTTTTTGGTAACTTCCGCCAGATGGCGTCTCTTGTTATTATTAACTAAGGTATACCTACTTTAAAAAGTATAACTTATTATTAACAAAGATAATGCTACTGTTATCTTTGTTATTAAGCATAGATATATTAATACCTAGATACAGTCATCTTTAAAAACCGTACGTCGCTTTTTAAAAAAAACACATCAAAGAAATTTGTACATCTCTCCGTTAGTTACTAACCAAGAAGAAACATGTTCTATTTCTTTCTATTGCACGAACCTCTATGGCTCTATGCCATGGCCATATAGCATCCTTGGTCATAAAATATATGATCTAAAAGGTCATGGCCAACGTGGATGTATTCCACCTTGGTCATGGCCTACTATGTCGTACGCGAATCGGACGCTAAAACAAAGTTAACGCATCCGAAACGTCATCTGACAGTTGACACATTTTACGATCGTGCGATAAATTTTAACTAAAAATATTTACCCTAAGCATGATATAAGTATATAATATATCTATGAAAATTAATTTATTAAAGCTTGTTGGTAGCGGAAATATTGGGTACGTTCAGCCGACGCAACTGTTGACTAACACCGTAAACGTGTTTTAGTAGCAAACGTCAACATGTGTCTGAACGGTTCTGTTGACACCGCAAATTTGTGGTGCCAATTAATCGGTGTATTTTGCCCGCAACAAAACCTAGTTAATAAATTGCTCAAAATTAATATCAGCACAGCCGTAAATTGGCTTATTATATCTGTACATACTTTCTGTACATACTTTCGCGAAATTGAAGCCGGTTTGTTCGGAAGCGATCTGTTTCCATATTTCTAAATGAAACGGATGTTTTCCAACGAAATAACTACGTTATTTGAAATGTTTTGATTTGTATAAAGTAGTGGTCGGTTATTTTTAGGAATGTGTAATATTCCTAAAGGAATCGACCACATGTGAAAGTTATTTGCCTTGAACAAACTTTGTATTGTATTTATTGATATTAGTAACATCCATACAAAGAATTTTGGTTATTTTGTTCATTGATGGGAAAATTGCATCTAATTTCAGTGATACGATTTCTTTGGATGGATTAAAATTTGGTTTAGCATTCAGATGTTTTGAACAGGTTATGTTAGTCGTAGTCTGAGGGATTGAACGTGTTTTAACTGAACTGCGTTTGTTTTTACAATTTTTTCGAGAGTGTAAGAGGGTGCGCGCCAGTGAGACTAGAAAGAAGGGAGCTGTGACCAAGTTTTTGGATAAATTAACGTACGAACAGAGAGGCACGTGGAAACCGGAAGGTGACCATTTACAAGGTGGGAATTAGTATAATTAAAAAGCCCTTGCCAAGACTAGACCGGTGGAGGCCTCATCAGTTTCGGTGTTGATGGAGCCGCTGCGGCGGCATTTAATGTGCGATAAGGGAAGCGAAAGCGCAGTGTGATTTGGTTTTGGAACGCGACCGTGTTGATAACGACAGATACAGGGCCAACCAAACAGGTAGTTGGATAATAGACTTTCTGATCACGGAGCCTCATCTGGAGACACCTCTCGAGAGGGTTGTTACACCCCCAAACGCGCATATATTGTGGTGAACCAATATAGCGTGTGAATCAAAACGTTAAACGTCTGGTGGATTACTCGGATCCCTGCGAATGCGATCACTGACTGTTAAAATATGGCCGGGGTGGACAACCCTTCTTCGAATAAGAGAATAGAGATATCGCTCCAGGATGAACTTAAAACGGCCGGTGTGAGTATGGGGACGGGGGGTAAATCCATAATGGTCGAAGTTGGCCTATAGTGGATTGAATGCAATGGTAGGTCCAAGGAAAAGTTAGACAATGGCGGAGACAAAATACAAGAGGGATTGAGCGAATTGCACCCGAAAAAACACTACAACTCCTCGTGAGGCTGGGGAATCGGGTGGATATTTCACAACTTATGGTGGGCGAAATTTAGGAGATGAGTGCAAAGGTCGGCAAAAAAGAGACACTTGTTGTTCCTAGGGGTCTACCAAGCCGACACTGAAAACGTTGACTTACCCTATACTTACCGTTGGCAACTCTGGCAAGAATCCACGAGCAGAGCCACCTACCTTTCAAGTCGAAACGATGGTAGTTTTGCGGCACATTTGAATTTGGATGGCAGGAGGCTCTATATGGGTGGTACGAATGGGCTCCTACGTTGTATAATCGGTTCTTTTATGTGTTGGGACGTGACCCATAATCGGGAAGGGAATTAAATAAAAGACAGAACTTTTGTGCGTAAGAAATGACAAGAACAAATAAGCACACACAAGACCATGCCAGGGAAACCTTCTACGGGACAAAAACCCCGGCATAGGCCACACAAATGCATGAAAAAAATCACCTACAGCAATAAAATGCAAGAGAAAATACACATAAATAAAACATCTCAAATTGTATGGTAAAAATCAGATAATCAAATCAAATGCAATTAAACGCAGTGGAAAACCATGATAAATCAATTCAGTACAAAAACACGATCAAAATACCTGTACCATCAATTGAGATAACACAACTAGTAAAATAAATAAAGATGGTTACTACCTGTAATTACACCTTCAAAACACCACCACCAAAATAATCATGAATAAAAAACCGGCAACGCGTGATGCCTTCCGTCGACCTCGTCGCTATCTCCCTCCTTTTTTTTAGTTTCGTTACGAAAATCTCCTAGTATTCGGCATCTGCGCAAAACGGTCGTTGGTTATATACAGAGCATATTATATTTTTGATTCAGATGTAAACGTGTGTTGCCTAACCATCAGGGTGGATTATCACACACTTAAGGCCATAAGCGGCCCTACAATGTGCCAGAAGTACAAGGTCGCCATCAGGCCCTCTTTTCCATTTCTTTTTAACAAGTCTGTGTAGTACAACACCACAAATACTGACGGGACATCCTGTATATGATAATTATTTTAATTTATGAACTAAATCTGGGGATTATTTACGAAATAAGAACAGAGATGGTTTGTTTCATTTGAATTTGTATTCAGTGTTTGTTTTTCCTTTAAGATTTGTTTGTAAATGCGCAATTCTTGTTTAAATATTATCGCTTTGTAATTATTCAATTTATATATTTATAATTAAACGTTTATTTATTTAAAAAAAAAATTATATAAGATGCTAAAAGTAAGAGACATCTGGTCGTTTGCGATAAGAAGCTTTATTGTTAGACGAAATGTGATTAGCGCAGGTGTTCTGGGGCTGATATCGAAGACGCAGGTGTTTCGAAGAATTGCGCGTTTTGCGTTGGAGAAGTGGGGACGTTTGGCGTGTTCCATCGTGATTCGCGATTTATTTGAAAATTCTTAAAGAGTTTATTTTATGGTGGAAGTGGTGTTTCTTTAAATACGAAGACAACAAGAAAACGAAACTGTCAGTTTCTCGATGGTCCGCGGTTATTGTTCTGTACCGTAGGTAATATAGCTTCGGGGTAAAAAATGACCCTCAATTTGGTGCACCTCTTAGAGGTAAAAGGAAAAGAATCATTTGACCTAAAACCTTCTGGTCTAACTATCCATGGTAGGTACGTTTCAAAAATTAGAAATGTTATTTTAGAATGAAAGGATTTAACCAATCGCAATGCTTTCTACACCCTTATCTTTACATAACTTAATTTTTTATTGACATATGACATTTTTCAGTTCGATCTAAGAAATGCAACCGTTCAAGGTACTGGGACACCACCCCTGAGGCAAAGCCTAAAGGGACGCTCTTCATCTTCCACGAAAATTCCAAATGACTGCTTTGTTATTTTTGTACCATCCCATCGGATTGGTGATGAACTAGAATTCCCGTGAGGATTAACCTTGTAGGTATTCTTGTTTTCTGGTCGCAAAACAAGTAATTGTACAATATGATGCAATTACCTACCAGTTTTGTCAGTGACCCACTTGTGCGTTTTACTTACTTCGTGCACCTGTTTTATACACAATACCGACGAAACCGCGCCATTACAGATGTTGATACCCATCGCAATTTTAACATTATTGGTATGGTACCTGCAGTACCATTGGAACCGGAGGCGCCTGTACAGAATGGCTTCCCGTTTCGATGGCCCGATTTGTTTGCCTTTCATCGGCAACGGGCTTTACTTTATGGGCTCTACCAGTGGTAAGTACATTCTTGTCTTGGTCAATGTGGTGGTGACCGGAATGGGTTTCAGACATTCTGGACAATGTCATCTCGCTGATGCGGAGTTTTAAGCTACCGGTGCGGGTGTGGTTGGGTCAGAAGCTATTTTACGGCGTCTCGGATCCGGAAGATCTCGAAACAATCATGAACAGTCCTCACGCGTTAGAAAAGGACGAATTGTACCAGTACGCCGAACCGGTGGTTGGCACTGGACTGTTCACCGCCCCAGGTTTGTCACGATTGCAAATCTCAGGGTGGCTTAGGTACACGTTTTTCTAGTGCCGAAATGGAAACGCCACCGTAAAGTCATCATGCCGACCTTTAATCAGCGCATCCTCGACGGGTTCGTACCGGTATTCGTCGAACAATCCACGATACTCCTCGACCAACTGAAAACCCAGGTTGGAAAGGGCAGCTTTAACATTTTTCACTACGTTAGCCGATGCACTTTGGACATTATCTGCGGTATGGATGCCTCAGTTAATGTTTCATGTAACAATTTTCTTCCAGAAACTGCAATGGGAGTATCGGTGGAGGCACAAACTAAAGATTCCGACTACGTTAAATGGGCTAACCAGTGAGTTACACTTTTTTTATAATTAAGCTAAGAATAAGATTTACTTATGCATTATGTTCCCCTGGTAACAACAGAATAATTTACAACACTTTAACAAACACTACGTGAGTTAGGGGTGGAAGACCGTCTCGCGCATTACATTCAAGTTTAAACAAAACCAAATTTTTAAAGAGTGTTATTGAGCTTATTAAAAACCTCGTGGATTATGTTCTCCTTGTAGCCAGAAACAATTTTGTAAGTTACCTCGTGAGTTGGGAGCAGAAACACTTCCTTGGGCATTATTTCTCCTGATACATGGCGCGGGAACACTACCATCGAGCTTAAAAAGACCATAGATTATATTCTCCTGGTAGCTAGAGCAAGTCTACATAATTTTTTGTCAGATACACTTTGAATTAGGACCTCTCTGCACATTATATTTTCCTGATACAAAATGTTAAACGAATATTAAGTGTAGGAACATTTCTGTTAGGCTTTGATGTTCCCTCCTATGTGAAGAAAAGGCCGTTGTTATGTGCTCCTGATAGCCTCAAAATTTCTGACGGTTACTGCACGTATTAACAGCAGAAATACTTCTTCATAGTTTATTACTTACCTCCTGACACAAACTTGAAATAGCCAGGAACCGCTTTATTGATTATGTTCTCCTGGTAGCTAGAGGAAGTTTAAGGAAACATTATAGTTTTTTTTGACAGATTCCTGATTCAAAATAGCTTTTCGAATGAGAGAAATATCAACATTTATTACGTGCTCCTAGTAGCTCAAGAAAGATTTCAGTGATAGGCTCTATGTGTCAGATCTTCGCTCACCATGGTACAAATTTTAGAGAGATAATAAAGTGTTGATACGTCTCTCGTGGCGTGACAAGAAAACCTTGAACTTCTGTTCTCCTGGTGACCAGAAGAAATTTGACAACATTTTTCTGATAGGCGTTAGTCATCGCATTATAAATGTTTCTGAAACAGAAAATGAAAATGAAAAACGGAATTTCACTTTAAATATTAAGATGAGATACCTCTTCGTGCACTATATTCTCTTGAAAAATTATCATCAAAAAGAAATGTAGTCCGGAAACACCCATGGGTGATTTGACCAAAGCCCCCCTCCCTTGTTTTGTTCTTCAGGTAGCACAGAGACCAATATTCCAAGAATGAGGAGCGGAAATACCTCTTTTCGAATTATATTCTCCTGATACGAAAATTGATACCTTACTAGGGAATGCAATCCCGCAGCAAAATCTCAATCCCGGTATTTGCGGGATTGCTAGATGTTAATCCCGCGGGATCCCGGTATTTGCGGGATCCCGCAAAGCTTTAAATAAATTGGCAACTAAGCAATTCTGTGCGGTTAACTTCTGCATTAAAATAAGTCGCTAATTATCACAATATTTAACAAAAAAGTACCTTCGGCCTAACTTAGAACTCAAAAAAATCACCTGTAAAGCACAAATAGGTGAACTTCTAAAGTGCCTCAAAAATCATAGTAAATTTTTAACGAAAAAAGTTTAACAATTATATAAAAAATAACGTTATGCGTTTCATTAACAAAGTAAACAGAGTCGCCCACTTGGTCGACAAATTCCTCAGTCCCGCAAATCCCGCGGGATCCCGCTCCATTTATGTGCGGGATTAATCCCGCAAAAATGCTGCGGGATCCCGGTATTTCGGGATCCCGCGATTCCGGTATTGCATTCCCTAAATGGGACCTGTAGAATCCATAATTTGAAACAGTTCCAAGATTGGGCTACTAGTTCAAAAGTTACAGCCCTTTGAATTTTTTTTCGAAATTGGTTTCTAGTCTATAACTTTTGATTGGGAGGTCTAATCGACAAAGTACGAATTGTTTTGGATTCTACGCACCAAAATTAATAAGAAAAAGTGTTTTCCCGAGAAATTTTGGTGCAGTCGATTTTTGGTAAAAAAGGAAGGTTACACACTGCCTTTTTTTGAGGCCCGAAAAAAAAATTGTCTCAGATCGACCCGGAAAAAAATTTTCTTATAGAATGTGGCCTGTAGAATCTATAATTTCAAACAGTTCCAAGATTGGGCTACTAGTTCAAAAGTTACAGCCCTTTGAATTTTTTTTCGAAATTGATTTCTAGTCTATAACTTTTGATTGAGAAGTCTAATCGAAAAAGTACGAATTGTTTTGGATTCTACGCACCAAAATTAATAAGAAAAAGTGTTTTTCCGAGAAATTTTGGTGCAGTCGATTTTTGGTAAAAAAGGAAGGTTATACACTGCCTTTTTTTGAGCCCCGAAAAAAAATTGTCTCAGATCGACCCGGAAAAAAAATTTTCTTATAGACTGTGGCCTGTAGAATCACTAATTTCAAACAGTTCCAAGATTGGGCTACTAGTTCAAAAGTTACAGCCCTTTGAATTTTTTTTCGAAATTGGTTTCTAGTCTATAACTTTTGATTGAGAGGTCTAATCGAAAAAGTACGAATTGTTTTGGATTCTACGCCCCAAAATTAATAAGAAAAAGTGTTTTCCCGAGAAATTTTGGTGCAGTCGATTTTTTGGTAAAAAAGCAAGGTTATACACTGCCATTTTTTGAACCGCGAAAAAAAAATTGTCTCAGATCGATCCGGAAAAAGAATTTTCTTATAGAATGTGGCCTGTAGAATCCATAATTTCAAACAGTTCCAAGATTGGGCTACTAGTTCAAAAGTTACAGCCCTTTGAATTTTTTTTCGAAATTGGTTTCTAGTCTATAACTTTTGATTGAGAAGTCTGATCGAAAAAGTACGAATTGTTTTGGATTCTACGCACCAAAATTAATAAGAAAAAGTGTTTTCCCGAGAAATTTTGGTGCAGTCGATTTTTGGTAAAAAAGGAAGGTTATACACTGCCTTTTTTTGAGCCCTGAAAAAAAAATTGTCTCAGATCGATCCGGAAAAAAATTTTCTTATAGAATGTGGCCTGTAGAATCCATAATTTCAAACAGTTCCAAGATTGGGCTACTAGTTCAAAAGTTACAGCCCTTTGAATTTTTTTTCGAAATTGGTTTCTAGTCTATAACTTTTGATTGAGAAGTCTGATCGAAAAAGTACGAATTGTTTTGGATTCTACGCACCAAAATTAATAAGAAAAAGTGTTTTCCCGAGAAATTTTGGTGCAGTCGATTTTTGGTAAAAAAGGAAGGTTATACACTGCCTTTTTTTGAGCCCGAAAAAAAAATTGTCTCAGATCGATCCGGAAAAAAAATTTTCTTATAGAATGTGGCCTGTAGAATCCATAATTTCAAACAGTTCCAAGATTGGGCTACTAGTTCAAAAGTTACAGCCCTTTGAATTTTCTTTCGAAATTGGTTTCTAGTCTATAACTTTTGATTGAGAAGTCTGATCGAAAAAGTACGAATTGTTTTGGATTCTACGCACCAAAATTAATAAGAAAAAGTGTTTTCCCGAGAAATTTTGGTGCAGTCGATTTTTGGTAAAAAAGGAAGGTTATACACTGCCTTTTTTTGAGCCCCGAAAAGAAAATTGTCTCTGATCGACCCGGAAAAAAATTTTCTTATAGAATGTGGCCTGTAGAATCCATAATTTCAAACAGTTCCAAGATTGAGCTACTAGTTCAAAAGTTACAGCCCTTTGAATTTTTTTCGAAATTGGTTTCTAGTCTATAACTTTTGATTGAGAAGTCTGATCGAAAAAGTACGAATTGTTTTGGATTCTACGCACCAAAATTAATAAGAAAAAGTGTTTTCCCGAGAAATTTTGGTGCAGTCGATTTTTGGTAAAAAAGGAAGGTTATACACTGCCTTTTTTTGAGCCCCGAAAAAAAAAATTGTCTCAGATCGACCCGGAAAAAAAATGTTCTATATATGTGGCCTGTAGAATCCATAATTTCAAACAGTTCCAAGATTGGGCTACTAGTTCAAAAGTTACAGCCCTTTGAATTTTTTTTCGAAATTGGTTTCTAGTCTATAACTTTTGATTGAAGGGTCTAATCGAAAAAGTACGAATTGTTTTGGATTCTACGCGCCAAAATTAATAAGAAAAACCGTTTTCCCGAGAAATTTTGGTGCAGTCGATTTTTGGTAAAAAGGGAAGGTTATACACTGCCTTTTTTTGAGTCCCGAAAAAAAAATTGTCTCTGATCGATCCGGAAAAACAATGTTCTTATAGAATGTGGCCTGTAGAATCCATAATTTCAAACAGTGCTTCTGAAACAAAACATCCCTGGTGATTTGACCAAAGGGCCTCCTCCTTTGTTTTGTTCTTCAGGTACAACTATTTCAATAATGTAGAGCGGAAATATTTTTCCTCAAATTATATTCTCCTGATAAGAAAATTGATACTTATTCTGTATCTTACTCCGAGAGAGGTAGTAGGATCGTTTCCGGTAACAGCTTCTTGTACTGCCTTAGTCCAGGGGAACGTTCCAATAGACGTTTCCACTCTTTCTTGAGCACGAACACGTGGAGCTTAGGGGAAATCCTTTTCCTCTCGAAGTTCAAGTTGAGTTCCCTCCCGTGGTTTGGCGATCCGGACGTTGTTTTTGAACACAGCGTGAGTCAGCCTTGCTTTTGGCAACCGAATCGGAGAAACGTGGCTTCGTCATCAAATGTCGCTTGGATGTTGTTGGTTTTCAATAATTCCAACTTATCATCGGGGATGGCTTCCAAATTAGGGTCCGTCGAGAAGATCCCTACTTTTTTGCCTTTCTCGGAATTCTCTCTTCGTTCCCAGGTGTTCCTTCGGAGAGAGAGATGATAACGCTGTCTTCGTCGGAGGACAATAAGGTCCTCTCGATGTCGAACAAGCCTACTAGATCAGTGGTGATTGGAGGTAGCGACTCCTCCGTTACGCCTTGGGTGATTTTTGTGATTAAGTCAGACGTGAAGATCCCACGAGTATTGGGCTTTTACTGGCAGCCTTCCCCTGCCACCAGAAGGCTATTGAAAACAGGAACACTGACTAACCAAGCTCTCCCTTGACATGCAGTCCTCGGCGTCAGCGGACCCACCTCCCCGAGTTCCGTTGCGAGTGTTGAGATTGTTGCCAGGGGGCACCACTAGGAGGTTGTCTAACAAAAACCCATTTTATGTAATCTTCCTTCGTGGCTCTAAATATTATAAGTACCGCAGGGCGATGGAGATTATGTTTACGAGGATGTTCAACATTTGGTACCACTTTGATTTCATATTCAACCTGACTCCAAGCGCGCGGATTCTGCGCGACGTCAACAACAAGATGCAAGCTTTCACCGGAACTGTAGGTAGCGTAGGTTGGGCTTGTACGTCGTCGCTCACCCACGTTTCAGGTTGTAAGAAACCACCGGGAAGCGTACCAAAGGAAGAGAAGGGAGGAGTACGTGGACAAGGACCAATCGACGCGTAAGAACTTCCTTCAGCAGCTGATCGAGTTGTCCGAAGGAGGGGCTAATTTTACAGATGATGAGCTGCGGGAGGAGGTGGATACATTTATGGTGGCGGTAGGTAAAGTAAATCACTTGAAGGCGTCCCAACGCTAGATCTTTGTAGGGAAGCGACACCACGGCGTCGATGAACAGCTTCATATTCATCATGCTTGGAATGTTCCCAGAAATCCAGGTGAGTAATACATGCCGACCACAGTTTTCACAAGTTCCAATTCAGGAAAAAGTGTACCAAGAGGTGCTAGACGTGCTCGGCCCAGACAAGCCAGTGGAAGCAGCCGATCTTGGTCGTTTCCACTACATGGAGAGAGTGATGAGGGAGACCATGCGCATATTTCCAGTCGGACCTGTACTGGTTCGGGCAATCACCAAGGACATCCAGCTAGGTAACTTTACTCTCTTCCATTCACTGAGAACACGGGACTTTCAGAGAGCTGCGTGATCCCCGCTGGAAGTTCGGTGGTGATGGTGATCATCCAAACGCACTGGAACGAAAAACTTTGGCCGCAACCCTTCAAGTTCGACCCTGATCGATTCCTACCGGAAGAAATGGCGAAACGTCACCCTTACGCTTGGCTACCATTCTCTGGCGGTCCACGTAACTGCGTTGGTACGAAAATTGATAACGTTTTACTTTTTATCGAAACACTAACGTAGGTCCCAAATACGCGTTCATGGCGATGAAAGCGCTCATAGCAACGGTTGTGAGGCGGTACACATTTTCTACAGACTACAAAACCATTAAGGACATCAAACTGAAAGCCGATTTAATGTTGAAGCCGGTACATGGATACAGTGTCTCTGTAGAATTGAGGGAATGAGAATTACACGCTTTATTTACGCTCGTGTGGTATTCTCCTTGCTTAAAACGCGTTTCCCCTTCCCCTTCCCTTTTCTTTCAGTTTGGTGACGCCCAGAAAATGCGACTTGAAAGTTAGATTGCTCTGTTCGTAGATTTCCCGAGTTGCCAACTGTAAGTATAGGGCAGGTCTAGATTGCGATACCGGCTTGGGGACTCCTACAATCATTACATAAATGAAAAAACGGTGCCTCCACGGTCCTTTTACGGGTTAACACACAATTGGTTATGATACAATCCTCCTTCACAACGAATTAGGTGACGGATGTGCACATTGAACTCTAAGCTTTTGTATCCTTGTATTTTAAAAGTTACGAGCAAACCACCATATTTATTGATACAAATTTTTGAGGTTAATAGGTACCAAAATTGGAAAACTTGGTTAGATGACCACAAGGAGAGCTTCACTCCATAAAAGTTTGCACTGTAATCCTATTGATTTTTAGCGTATTTTTGAAAAATATGTGCTATTGTTTGCGTTTTGTCCGTCCGTCCGCCTATCCTGCATGGTACCTACTCTAATGAAAGGTCTCTATGAAAGAAATTAATTTCTACCATCATTTTCCTCCTCGGCCCCTTATCGTGATGGGATATAAATAATTCCTTATATCTCAAGAACAGATTGTCGGAGGTACTCACACAGGGCAATTGAGACGTCTGGACGAAATAGGTCTATTGGTGATGTCAAAACTTTAAGAGCGAATACCTCGAAAACGGGTTTGACATCAGCAATAGTTATATTTTTTCAGACGTCCCAATCGCCCCTTGTGAGTACCACTCCGACAATCTGTTCTTGAGGTATAAAGGAATGTACCCGATCACGATAACAAGTCGAGCAGGAGGATCATAGTTGCTAGAAATTAATTCCTTTAGTTAAGACCTTTCATTAGAGTACCATGAAGGATTACACCCATCCCCCCCCCCCTCTTTCCACCGGCCACCTACCCACCTACTGAAATCGGAAAGGAGTCGCGCAGGAAAATTATGGTTTGTACGCATGCATATGGAAATTCTGGTTGTCGCATGCAAAAGTTATTCACGTTTCACATTCAAAACCGCATCTTAGGAAATAATTCATGGGGTGAGATATCGAAATTTGAAGACCGTTTGGCACACCTTCAAGGTATAGGCTACATATTGCAAACAATTCTAGGACTCTAGGCCCATTCCCCTAAAAGTAATTTAAAACCGAAGAAGTGGATCCACAGACGGACCGACAAAACGCAAACAATAGCACTTTTTTTAATTTTTAAAAAATACGCGAAAAATAAGATGGGGATATAGGAAATTAATGGTAGAAGATGGAGAGGAAAATGAGGAAGAAGTACCAGTGAAAGAGACGAAAGAGCGGGGAAGGACGAAGAAAGAGACAGAGACGAACAACAGAAGAAAGGAGTAAAACGAAATAAAAATAGAGACAAGTAACATAGGAGGACACAACTTTGAATTTTTGGTATACACCCCTTTGAATTAATTTGAATTAACGTGAATTAATTTGCATTAACCTGAATTAATGTGAATTAATTTGAATTAACGTGAATTAATGTGAATTAATTTGAATTAACGTGAATTAATTAATTTGAATTAACGTGAATTAATTTGAATTAACCTTAATTAATGTGAATTAATTTGAATTAACGTGAATTAATGTGAATTAATTTGAATTAACCTTAATTAATGTGAATTAATTTGAATTAACGTGAATTAATGTGAATTAACGTGAATTAATTTGAATTAACGTGAATTAATTGGAATTAACGTGAATGAATTTGAATTAACGTTAATAAAATGTGAATTAATTTGAATTAACGTGAAATAATTCGAATTAACGTGAATTAATTTTAATTAATTTGAATTTGTTTGCATTTCTATATCACTTCTAAGAAACACTAACACTATGAACCCACTTTATAGGCGTAAGTAAGTGCCCTCCCACTATACCATGTGCAAGAATAAGCGCGTGGTTAAATTAAAGGGTTAATTACCGCTTAATTAAGCATGTTTATTGTTCAAAAGTATTAAAACATTAAAACAATGCCTCGGGCACCCGTCCTGTAGGTATATCATATTTTGCTGTTGTATTAATGTTACTGTTATTCGAGGTCCCTACATACAAAATTTCATTTAAATAACTTGAGATATAAAAAAATTGGGATTGCGCAAACACAAATGTTGGGTTACGCATGCGCAATTTCTTATATTCATCTGCATTAGTCGCTTGAGGTTTAAGGAATATTTACTAACACAGAAAACCATATGTGCTTTGTAACAATAATTATAAAATAAACCCTTGAACCCGAGAATTAATGTGAATTAATTTGAATTGACGTGAATTAATTTGAATTAATGTGATTTGATTTGAATTAACGTGAATTAATTTTTTTAATTAATTTTTGGTGAAAAACCAAAAGTGGTACTTGTTTCCCCCTAGCAAGTAACATATGAAGATGATGTTCTGGAAGGCGGTGACGTTGCAAACAAAGACCTTTAATTTTGGGAGTTTGCAAGACGATTTTATGTTGTAGAATCTTGAGTAGTAAAACTGAGAGAATGTAAAATTGATACCGAGTGAATAGATAGGGAAGATCAATTTGCGAATAGGGACATCATAAAGGGCAGAGCAAAAAGAGGCATATTAACAGGGGTAAGAAAAGAGATAAGGGAGGGTGGGAGGAAGTGAAAGAGGCGAAAGGTATACAAGAAAAACAAGTGGAAGTCGAGGGGAAGAGCATGAGTGTAATAACTATATACAACAGAGAAGTAATGACAGAGTTAAAAAATAAAATGGAAAATATGGTAGATGAAAAGGAAGAGGAAGGGAGGTTTAAATGCCATAACAGGGTTAGTAGGTGACTGTTTCCTTTTTTGGAATATATTTACAATATGCAGCCGAAGTGCCGTCGAAGCAGGCTCTGATCTCCGCTTTTAAACGTTTGCGACCAAGGACGCTACGTTCTCATCGGTTGACCGTCTAGACCAATGAGGATGCAGCACGTTTTAGTTTGCTGCCGGATGTGCATGGGGCGCGTCCCCACAAATAATGAGGAAATATAATTTAACATAGGTACCGAAAGGCAAAAAGCAGCCCTTTCGAAATGCTTAAGAGCCGGTTATTTGATTTTCCATTAATAATAATCTATTAAAATTGTAATAAATTATTCGTCTTCGGAACCCAGCATTTCGAATTAAAGCAGTAACAAAAGGTTTGTTCACGAGATTTTCAAAAACAGTTTTCACTGGCCTCGTTGGATGTTATTTTGCTACTTTTTCATAAAGAATAGGTCATATCATTCCATTAGATTTTTTTGATTTTTTTAGGATTTTGGATCATAGCGTCAAAACTAGCCCCCTGGTGGAGAAGGAGTCAACTAAATTAACTATATTTTTGTTGATTCTCTTTGCCCAAGGAATGATCTTTTCAACCATACCAAATTTGTTAAAATCGGTCAAACGGTTAAGAAGTTAAAGCAGGTTATTGCAAAAACAATTGAACGCCCCACGCCATCTTTGTTTTTGATATAACTTGAGATGCCTCAACCTTAGCAACGCCCTGTGAATATGATTGTCGATACGAAGCACCCTATACATCATGTTAGTTACACGAGCTGCCAACCGAAATCTGGTGGGATTACAGAAAAGAGAAAGAGGGCGAAGATGAGACGGATGGAATTCTCGGAAGAACACATGTGTTTACCATTTCAAACACCTACAGTCCAGTTTTTTCCTAGAAATGCGTGAAATGCAGGGAATGGGCGATTTTCGGGTGGTTTTTAGGGGTGGTAGATCAAATTACAGCGTGGCTTGGGTTAGTCAATAAAAACGATTTAACATGTGTGTTCATGGTCTTCTTCTTGTAACCGGCTAAAGTGTAAAGTACGGCTTATCTTGCAATATTTGTTATACCTTAATGCAGATTGTAACCCTTAACTTATGTACTTACTGGATTCAATCACTTGTACTCTTTGTTGGTATTGGCAATCATGTTTCATTGTCGGTAGGGTTGTCTCTGTGCTGTACATATTTGTGTATTGTGCTTTTTAGTCACTCTCGATTATTTCATTGCATTTCATTATGTTTGCTTATTTGGGGCTGTGAGTAATCAAGAGGGAAGTGTGCTTGTTTAGAAGGGATCGAGTTATTCAAGTTTATACGGGCCTTGGTGAACCTAACACTAACATTTTCACTCGTTCCGAATCCAACAACTTTAGCCCACGTTTACAGGCACCCCACTGAGCCTGGGTAATCCTACCGCCCGGCGAGGTATATTTAATATCTCTACTACTACTCCGAATTAGGTTTTCCTGCAGTTTTCCTAATTCGTAAGGTAAATGCCGGAGTAGTGTAGAACCACTTAAGACCCTCTGCAGGGGCGCAGTATTGGTATTAACTTCAATATAATCTTAATCAGCTATTGCTTTTGGTGTTCCTTACCCATAAAACGCCCTCACTGCCTGCGGAGAACCCAGTTATTACACAACGTAGGTGTCCTACATGACGATCACCATCTTAGTGCACTCGGAGTGGCCCCCGAGTGACAGATTCTCGCGGGAAATGTAAGCGAGAATATTCAAATAACAGCCAGGTTAGTTTGGCATTCCCGCTACTACAGAATATGGTCAAATATTCCGGTGTGACTTGAAGTTGGCTTTAGCCCGCCAAGATAGTAGGAGGCTAAGATCATTACAAACTGAGTTTTTGTTTTTACGAAAATGATGGATAAACTGGTTCTCTTTAAAAATGTGAAAAAAGAATGTTTAGTTTATTATGCGAAATTTAAAGAAAATGCAATTTTAAAATTTAAAATGGCAGTTACGCCCTCTGTTGGTCATTTTTAGAACTGGAAAATATTTTCCGGCGATTCTTCATGACCGATTTACCCAATAAATTTTTTTACCCCTAAGTCATATGACGAACGGTTCTCGAGATATGGCCGAGGAACAGTCTTATTGGCTCACCCGGTACATTCTTCCTCAAAACATTTAGTGACATTGACGCTTTTTTAATAATTCCGAAGAAAGGGCCACCTAACGTAATACCAGAAATTTGTGGGGTAGGGATGCTTGGCGAACGAAAATTCGGCGTTCCCCAGACCCCCCAGTTGTACAGTCTAGCCCAAAATATTTAGTGACAATTCTGAGGCCATATATCTAATGTAAGACCAGAAATCTTTGGGTTAGGGGTGCTCAATGAACCAAGAATCGGTATCCTTTACGAAGAAGCTATTCTGCTACTCGTCCCTACACGGGAAAAGATGCACTACCCCTATCCATAAAAATCTAATGAAAATTCAAGACTCCCGTTACAAACAAAGCTTGGAGCACGCCATGCTTCAATAAAAAACAAAAATCTATTGATAAACTGCGACACGAAATTTAAAGATTGATGCTTAGTACAAGAAAGAATAAAAAGACTACTAACTGTAATTACACTTTGAGTGTTTTGTACTTTTTTCACAGTACTATTTTTTCTGATGTAAGGTGTGTTGCCTAACCGCAGGGGTATATTACCACAGACTATAGACATTGAAATTTCTTTCAGATCAACCGAGGTTATGACTTGAAGAGCTAGCAATAGTGAAAGCTTTTTACAAGAACTTTAGGTCAGTTTTCTCATACTAGCCCTTGACTGGGCGACGTTTCGAATCGCGTTCGGCGCTCACGATCAGGTAAACACGTTAATTCTACTCATTTTATTGACGTAAATGTTACAGCCCATCTTTCATGGATCGCGTCAGTTTAGATTTTAATTGGGGTGTATTAAAACCTTAATTGCGTTTCCAGTACCGTCCTTTAGCACATTAAACGCTTTCAATGCATCATCGATTTGGTAGTGATGGGTGATTAGCGTCTTAACGTTGATCTTTCCCGCCGCAATCATTTCTATTGCAGTTTGAAAGCTGCAAATGAAAATCGAATTACGCAGTACGAACTTGATGATATTTACTCGTTGACGTTCGCGTAACATCCCCGGATGTCGATCTCTCGGGTGAGAATGTCTCGGACCGGAAGGTCCATGTCGACCTTTCCGCTTATTCCGACGAGCACGACGGTACCGCCACTCGCCGTCGCTTTAACAGCGACGCGTGCCGTGGACTGGAATCCTGCACAGTCAAAACTGACGGTAGGCCGGTCGTCTAGGAGAGACGTAATTCTTCGGACAATCAGATCTTCTGGATCATTAGGTTCAACTTTCAGAGTGAAATCCGCCCCAAGCTCTTTGGCCTTGTCCAACCTCCATTGGGAGACGTCTGTGGAATATCTACTCAATGACTCTCAGCACTTACAAGAGCGCAGTGACCTGTAACGATGACTTTGGTAGCTCCACAAGCCTTAGACATCGCCAGCGTAAGTAATCCAACAGATCCGGCGCCTATGACTAGAACAACGGAGCCTTGTCGAACGTTACCCCGTCTGCAAGCATACAGCCCAATTGCCAAAGGTTCAACCACAGCTGCTTCTTCTAATGACATTGCGGTAGGTAACCTGAATAGCAGTGGATGAAATTAGCGAAACGTTTCGAGTAGGCTACCTGTAGCAAAGTTTGGCAGGGTGAGTGTAATAACGTGTCATGCAACCATTTACTTGGGTGTCAACGCCAAGGGTGGGGTGGGTGCAAATGTTATGGCGACCTTCTCGGCAACACGTACACTTTTCGCACCTTGGCAAGGTGTCGATCACGACCCGATCACCTAAATTGACCTTGGTGAAACTTTACCAAGCGGATGAATACTACCTTCTTTGAGATCAGTAACATTCCTCCCCACTTCCAAAACAGTACCTGCAGCTTCGTGACCTATAAACTACAAATTCAAAACTGGAAATCAACCAACGCACGCACCTATGACTAGCGGTGGCTTAATTTCCCAAAACCCAAGAAAACCGTTCTTCATCAAGTGCAGGTCCGATCCGCAAATACCAACGGAGTCCACCTTCAGCAAAACCTCTGCAACGTCAAGATCAGTGAGTACCTGTGCCAAATCGCGATAGACCTACCGTCATCCCTTGGTACGGGAATGGGACATTTCTCCTGGAAGTTAATGGTTAACAAAGGGCCACATACCACCAACACTTACCAATCGCAAATCGTGCACCCCGCGAAATACGACGGATAAGTTGTCACCAAGATCCATTCCTGCTCACGCTCCGAATTTGATTACCGTAAATAGATACACTTGCCAAATTCGTGTGAACTTTGTCCTTTTTTTAATCAATGTCATTACATATTTGATAACATTTCAAGATTCTTTACATATGTCCTAAATTTAAGAACAAACATATTTTTTTACGTATAATTTCCATCAGAGCACATTGAAATGTTTTTGGTCACTAGAAATTCTTCAAGCATTTGTTTAGAGACACCCCCCACTAAAGGTCCTCCAGAAGCTCTTCAGCGATTCTTTGGGAAGCTACAGATGTTTACTGAATATCTTTTACTTTAAATAGGTACTCTCTAAGGGCGGAATCGTGGAGAGAAAAAAAGGACCGGAAGAAACCGATACCTACATTTGGAAGAAAGGGGAGACAGGTATACAGGAAAGACTATTGAAAGTGGAGGGGAAGAGAATCAGGGTGATACATACAACAAAGAAGGAGTGAAAGAGTTACAAAATAAAACAGGAAATATGGTAACTGAAAGGGAGGAGGGGATTACATCCTAGTAAACGCAAAGATATTGAAAGAAACAAAAGGATTTTAAGGCAGGAACAAGAATAGAAACATAGAAACACTGTGGAGACTATAAAAAGCGAGTAGAGGAACCAACGAAGAAGAAATAGGAGAGTACAAACATGAGAGTATTAGAAAATAACATGGAAGAAAGAAGTGGTGAGATCGAAAGTGTACAGAAGAGAGAAACAGATACAGAAAAATGATGGAAAAAGAAAGAGGGGGAAGGATAAAGGAGAACGAGTTGAGAGAGCGGAAAAAAGTACAAAAGAAAATGTGATAAGGACAAAATGAAAGAAAGAAAGAAAGAAGAACTTTGGGAAGATGATAAACAGAGGAAAAAGGACTAAACATAATTAATTGGGAGAGAAATACAAATAGAGGACTGGAAACAGAACTTGATTAAGGTACCACATGGAAAGCAGGAGAAAGAGGTTAGGTTAAAAAAAGATGGAAGGGGAGTGGATAGAAATGGACGAAATATCAAGGGACNATCTTTTCTAAAATGCCGATTTCTAACCAAGAAGCATTTAATATGCTGGCGATATATTTTGAGTATTTTCAAAATGCGACCATCGCTGCCCACATCTTCTATTTGCGTTATCCGAATCGACCACGAACCATCGCCGCCAGCATATTAAATGCTTCTTGGTTAGAAATCGGCATTTTAGAAAAGATTACAAATTCAAAAAACTGCACTTTCTGAATGTAAACACAGCAGAATAATTTACAAATTACGGCTGTTATTATTTTATAATGCATCGTGTTTCATTTGTTTAATTTTCCAAGGCCTACCTAAAAGTGTAGGGTGCTTTTCTTTCGCGCCATCGACAAATACCGGAAATACGTAAAAAGTAAATTTAAGATACAAGTTTAAGCATTTTTATTAATTAATTAATTAATCTCATTTTCCCAATATTTGAGGTTAGGAACGAGATTTTGAAAAACGTTTTCACTGGCCTCTTTGGATGTTATTTGGCTACTTTTTCATAAAGAAAAAGTCATATCATTCCATTTATTTGATTTTTTTAGGATTTTGGGTCATAGTGTCAAAACTAGCCCCCTGGCGGAGAAGGATTCAACTAAATTAACTATATTTTGATTCTCATTGCCCAAGGAATGCTCTTTTCAACCATACCAAATTTGTTAAAATCGGTCAAACGGTTAAGAAGTTAAAGCAGGTTATTGCAAAAACAATTGAACGCCCCACGCCATCTTTGTTTTTGATATAACTTGAGATGCCTCAACCTTAGCAACGCCCTGTGAATATGATTGTCGATACGAAGCACCCTATACATCATGTTAGTTACACGAGCTGCCAACCGAAATCTGGTGGGATTACAGAAAAGAGAAAGAGGGCGAAGATGAGACGGATGGAATTCTCGGAAGAACACATGTGTTTACCATTTCAAACACCTACAGTCCAGTTTTTTCCTAGAAATGCGTGAAATGCAGGGAATGGGCGATTTTCGGGTGGTTTTTAGGGGTGGTAGATCAAATTACAGCGTGGCTTGGGTTAGTCAATAAAAACGATTTAACATGTGTGTTCATGGTCTTCTTCTTGTAACCGGCTAAAGTGTAAAGTACGGCTTATCTTGCAATATTTGTTATACCTTAATGCAGATTGTAACCCTTAACTTATGTACTTACTGGATTCAATCACTTGTACTCTTTGTTGGTATTGGCAATCATGTTTCATTGTCGGTAGGGTTGTCTCTGTGCTGTACATATTTGTGTATTGTGCTTTTTAGTCACTCTCGATTATTTCATTGCATTTCATTATGTTTGCTTATTTGGGGCTGTGAGTAATCAAGAGGGAAGTGTGCTTGTTTAGAAGGGATCGAGTTATTCAAGTTTATACGGGCCTTGGTGAACCTAACACTAACATTTTCACTCGTTCCGAATCCAACAACTTTAGCCCACGTTTACAGGCACCCCACTGAGCCTGGGTAATCCTACCGCCCGGCGAGGTATATTTAATATCTCTACTACTACTCCGAATTAGGTTTTCCTGCAGTTTTCCTAATTCGTAAGGTAAATGCCGGAGTAGTGTAGAACCACTTAAGACCCTCTGCAGGGGCGCAGTATTGGTATTAACTTCAATATAATCTTAATCAGCTATTGCTTTTGGTGTTCCTTACCCATAAAACGCCCTCACTGCCTGCGGAGAACCCAGTTATTACACAACGTAGGTGTCCTACATGACGATCACCATCTTAGTGCACTCGGAGTGGCCCCCGAGTGACAGATTCTCGCGGGAAATGTAAGCGAGAATATTCAAATAACAGCCAGGTTAGTTTGGCATTCCCGCTACTACAGAATATGGTCAAATATTCCGGTGTGACTTGAAGTTGGCTTTAGCCCGCCAAGATAGTAGGAGGCTAAGATCATTACAAACTGAGTTTTTGTTTTTACGAAAATGATGGATAAACTGGTTCTCTTTAAAAATGTGAAAAAAGAATGTTTAGTTTATTATGCGAAATTTAAAGAAAATGCAATTTTAAAATTTAAAATGGCAGTTACGCCCTCTGTTGGTCATTTTTAGAACTGGAAAATATTTTCCGGCGATTCTTCATGACCGATTTACCCAATAAATTTTTTTACCCCTAAGTCATATGACGAACGGTTCTCGAGATATGGCCGAGGAACAGTCTTATTGGCTCACCCGGTACATTCTTCCTCAAAACATTTAGTGACATTGACGCTTTTTTAATAATTCCGAAGAAAGGGCCACCTAACGTAATACCAGAAATTTGTGGGGTAGGGATGCTTGGCGAACGAAAATTCGGCGTTCCCCAGACCCCCCAGTTGTACAGTCTAGCCCAAAATATTTAGTGACAATTCTGAGGCCATATATCTAATGTAAGACCAGAAATCTTTGGGTTAGGGGTGCTCAATGAACCAAGAATCGGTATCCTTTACGAAGAAGCTATTCTGCTACTCGTCCCTACACGGGAAAAGATGCACTACCCCTATCCATAAAAATCTAATGAAAATTCAAGACTCCCGTTACAAACAAAGCTTGGAGCACGCCATGCTTCAATAAAAAACAAAAATCTATTGATAAACTGCGACACGAAATTTAAAGATTGATGCTTAGTACAAGAAAGAATAAAAAGACTACTAACTGTAATTACACTTTGAGTGTTTTGTACTTTTTTCACAGTACTATTTTTTCTGATGTAAGGTGTGTTGCCTAACCGCAGGGGTATATTACCACAGACTATAGACATTGAAATTTCTTTCAGATCAACCGAGGTTATGACTTGAAGAGCTAGCAATAGTGAAAGCTTTTTACAAGAACTTTAGGTCAGTTTTCTCATACTAGCCCTTGACTGGGCGACGTTTCGAATCGCGTTCGGCGCTCACGATCAGGTAAACACGTTAATTCTACTCATTTTATTGACGTAAATGTTACAGCCCATCTTTCATGGATCGCGTCAGTTTAGATTTTAATTGGGGTGTATTAAAACCTTAATTGCGTTTCCAGTACCGTCCTTTAGCACATTAAACGCTTTCAATGCATCATCGATTTGGTAGTGATGGGTGATTAGCGTCTTAACGTTGATCTTTCCCGCCGCAATCATTTCTATTGCAGTTTGAAAGCTGCAAATGAAAATCGAATTACGCAGTACGAACTTGATGATATTTACTCGTTGACGTTCGCGTAACATCCCCGGATGTCGATCTCTCGGGTGAGAATGTCTCGGACCGGAAGGTCCATGTCGACCTTTCCGCTTATTCCGACGAGCACGACGGTACCGCCACTCGCCGTCGCTTTAACAGCGACGCGTGCCGTGGACTGGAATCCTGCACAGTCAAAACTGACGGTAGGCCGGTCGTCTAGGAGAGACGTAATTCTTCGGACAATCAGATCTTCTGGATCATTAGGTTCAACTTTCAGAGTGAAATCCGCCCCAAGCTCTTTGGCCTTGTCCAACCTCCATTGGGAGACGTCTGTGGAATATCTACTCAATGACTCTCAGCACTTACAAGAGCGCAGTGACCTGTAACGATGACTTTGGTAGCTCCACAAGCCTTAGACATCGCCAGCGTAAGTAATCCAACAGATCCGGCGCCTATGACTAGAACAACGGAGCCTTGTCGAACGTTACCCCGTCTGCAAGCATACAGCCCAATTGCCAAAGGTTCAACCACAGCTGCTTCTTCTAATGACATTGCGGTAGGTAACCTGAATAGCAGTGGATGAAATTAGCGAAACGTTTCGAGTAGGCTACCTGTAGCAAAGTTTGGCAGGGTGAGTGTAATAACGTGTCATGCAACCATTTACTTGGGTGTCAACGCCAAGGGTGGGGTGGGTGCAAATGTTATGGCGACCTTCTCGGCAACACGTACACTTTTCGCACCTTGGCAAGGTGTCGATCACGACCCGATCACCTAAATTGACCTTGGTGAAACTTTACCAAGCAGATGAATACTACCTTCTTTGAGATCAGTAACATTCCTCCCCACTTCCAAAACAGTACCTGCAGCTTCGTGACCTATAAACTACAAATTCAAAACTGGAAATCAACCAAC